TGCTTCATTCAAGTGCTTTTTACATGATTTTTGACTCCCCCAAAACAGGAGATATGCATTGGATAAGCGACAATTTTAATACAACAATTAATCTACCCAGATGGAGTAAGTTTCTGACTTTCCAATTGCCAATTTATCCCCACCCAAAAAAGAAAAGGGGCAAGAAAAGGCATGGTCAAAGATACAAACTGTGAAGAACACACTTTTTTCCAGATAGCTCTACCATACTAATAAACAGAAGAAACAGCCCTAAAGGACTCATTTCTGGTAACATTGGTTTGAACAACATTAACAGCTCTCACCAAGAAATGAAAGCAGCATCTGCTACAGGAAGTTTGGAATCGAGTTTCATTCCTCTTCAACATTCAGACCAAAAAGATTAATGCTAATCAGAAAAATATTTCAGTTTGCATCTTCTTTTTTTTTTTTTTTTTTTTTTTAATCTGCATGCAGATTTCCAACGGGGAAGAGGATTGTTTGCAGTAGAGAAAACCCAAATACCAAAAATGAGACATTTTGCCCATAAACAAGTTCACGCAGGATATAAACACAAGTTTCAGGCCAAATGTATCCTACCAGCTGCTGCACAGGTATAACCAACACACGCCGCCGTGCATTGCTAGCTCCCTGGAGGAACGATCCTCACACCATGATAGGTACCCAAGGCTCATCATCACCACGTCTGTGGTGGCCACCAAAATTAGCCCTGACATTGCCACTGTCCATGGCAGCCCCCATGGCAGAGACCAGTCACCTGGGTAGCACTAAGGTGGGAAACCAGGAGGAAACCAGGAACCCTCCCCTCTTCTGACTTTAAAGGCTCCTCTGTCAACACAGACAGGAGAAAATTAGCTCATGTGCCCATATTTGCATCATGTGTGATGCAATTTCTTTTTTTAACCTCCACCTTTCATTTGCTCTGATTTTAACATCAGTCTCTTTCCTATTAAGTGCTTCACCAGTCGCAGAAAATGCTGCATAAAACAACACAAATGCGTCTTACAGCGGCTTCAATTTGCGAGCCTGCATTTTTATTCTAGCTGCTGCTTCCTCACACCCTGCTGGGATGCAGCTTGCTCATTCTAGCAGGGAATTCCTCAATTTCACCTGGTTCCGCATATTTGTGTGACCGACACTGTTTCTTCCCTTGGGACAAGCGAGTGCTTCCCGGCACAGAATAAAATAGAACAAGCAGTTTTGGGGGAAGCTTCCTGGCGAGTTTACTCTACGCCTCCTTTTCACTCAGCAAGCCGAGCACAAGGTCAAAAGAGACATTTTTCTTTTGATTTAGGAATCAGCCCCTTCACTATGAGGATTTGGGCTAACTCTAAAGAGGATTTGGAGGTGGATCAAGGCTCAAATCCATCTCTAGAGTTTGAAAACAAAACCCTACCATTTATAACCCGTCTAATCCACAACCCCACTTCAAGAGAGCGGGGAAGACGAGCAAAAACGCTGTGTTACCAGCTCCACTCAACACCTCACAGGGAGGCTCAGCACGTTTTGCTTTCGCAGAGCAAACTTTGGTGGGGAGGAAGGCTGAGAGCTAAGTGCTGGACCCACGTTTGTGATGTCCCACACATGGTCCATCATTTCCTTAGTGTAAAGGATAGGGCATCACTAGCAGCTTTTGCACCAATTCTGCTTCTCAGTTCTTCCTATCCACTCATGCACGAGATCCCTGACGAGACTCAAACGTCCTTGATGGAGAGGAGTAACAAGCCACAGCAAAAAGAATAGTCCCAATTGCAAGTATCAATCTCCATGAAAGATGTGAGGTGTCAGCACCAACAAGAACATCTCAGCAGCCTTGACAGGACTGCAGGAAGACAGTGTCCTCGTTTTCAATGCTAAATTCAATCAAGATACAATGTACCATGCAAAGCCGAGACAAAGATTATATATGGCTGAATTTGTCAAGTTATCTGATGTGAATTGTGAGCAATTAAATAGGAAAAACTTGAATTGCTTTGATATCTCTAGTGAACACTCCCAGTACAAGATACAGAAGTTGAACTTGCCTCAGATTTAATATCTTTTGTTTCCATAGAGACTCTTCATAGTTCCATACAATCCCGATTGCACTGCTTCCCTTCCACAGCATAGGAAACAAAGGGGCCAATCAACAACAAAAAAATTCAACAAAAAAAGTACATGCAGCTTGTTTAGCCCAGTAAGTCTTACACCTGGTAAGAGATGCATCAGCCTGACTCAATAGCCTTTAAGATTTCAGATTTTTTTAAGCAAAATAAAGTAAATGGACAACAGACTGAAAAACAGCAAGCATTAATCTGAATTTGGCTGGCCCAATGTCCTTTACTGACATGGAGGCAAAGGCAAAACCAGCACCCGAGCCTTTGGCAAGGCCTTAGGTGACACTCACATTCCTCACTTCCTAATGCAGCGAGGTTAGTGCAGTGGTAACAGAGAAAACATCGTCTAAGGGAGAAGAATGAGAAGGTCACTGTGGTCCCAGAGTGAGTCAGGGGAGATGCTGCCCCAGGAGGACGGCAGCTCTCATCATCACACACAACGCACCGGGAGATACTTACTGAGAAGACATTGTGTGCTGTTCAAATACAGCTTAGAAGAGAGGAACTCATCCCATAGCAGGGATAGACGAGGACCCTTAGGATGGTGTGAGTAATGGAAGGACTGTTCTTTTCTTATGAGCCACTAATCAGCTGTGTTGATTCAGTGTGTTAAAATGAATGCTGAGGGGAGGATGCATTCCCTTTGCTTCTGGATTAAATAGTAAGAAAAGAGAAGACCTATCTAAGCAAAGAGACAGTGCATAAGGTCAAATGGGTATAAAACAGACAGCGAATAAGTTGAGTTTGGAAGTTGGAAGGCAGGTTTCAGCTCTCCAAGGAATGGTCTCTGGATTAGTCATCTAATAGGACAACCGGGAATGGAGAAAATATTCAACCTGCTCCATGCTGTAATTTGGTCACTTGATAAACAGACTTGAATCGTTTGCCTGCTTTGATGGGGGAAACCTGAGGCATCAGCCCCTAAAACTTCTTAAAAAGAAAATATTTGGAGAATGTACTGAACTTTTTACAAGGACCACAAGATTGTTATCTGGAGAATTCAGTAACTGCATCGCAATCCTGCAGCCAATACGGGCAGCTTTAGCAGTCGTATTCCTTGTTCTTCTAAATCTCTCCCTTCTTGCAGCTTGCCTGAAAGTCCCATAAAAAGAGGAATTACTACGGTGAAAGAGCAAAATTGATTATGCAGATAGTACTGTCAAATGCAGGAGGGAAAACAAACTGGAGAAAATAGAGCAGAATAAATTGTTTCTCCAATCTCAAAGTGACTTGGGGAAAAAAAAAAACAGAGAAGATAAAATGAGAGATTTTTTTAAAGGTTTCCACTGTCCTTTTATCTCAAAAGAAGTACTTATATGATTTTTATTTTTTTTCTGCACAAATACTAATATTCTGGGAAAACGCAGGCAAATGAGCCAAACAAAAGAAAGCTGCAAAAACAGTTTAAATGTGAGACCAATCAATAAGTCTACTGAGAAGAAATACTTATCTGCATCTTGTTTGAGATAGACAAGGGAGGTATTAATATTGTATGTGCCTGTTGAGTGGGTAAAATAATCGAGCGCCATCAAAATGCAAAACAGCTCCTTCAACTTTTCCTTCGCCAGCTGTAAAATCTGCTTTTCTGCCTGAATTACCTTTCTCCTGCAATGCCATCTAGAGGAAAGCAGACAGATAAAAGAGAGGTCAGAGGCACAGGGATGAGGATGAGGCTGGTTCAGAAGGAAGCTGAAGCTTCCCTGACATCAACCTAATCAACGGAATGAGGCTTTCCAATTTATGGAGCCGTTAGAGGAGAGGGGAGTCTTGGCTCTGTCTCCTCGCTGGTGCTTACACAGCAGATCTCGTCTGCACAGGGCATGACTCAGCAAGAGGATTTCCCAACACATTTCTAAGAAGGGGGCTGTTTCTCTCCACAATCACCAATTGCATCATTCTCCTGTGATTTAAATCTGGAAAACATATTTAAAAAAAAATTGCATTAATTGCAGATCCCGTCAGGCAAATGAGATATTGGAATTGGGCTTGGGAAAAGTTTATACCTAAATTTTTACCCTCATCTACACAGGCTTTTCCCTGATTACTCAGACACTTGTTTCACCTCTCTGCACTTCAGCTCCCTGATACTTCCTTCTCATAGGGGTTGTAGTTGCAGAAGGATCTCACAGACGCTTCGGCAACAGGAACATCTGCAGATTCACAGTGTTTTTGCTCTCAGCTTTAGCCTTCTTTTTTTCTTTGGGGGCTATAGGCAAGATTTCTTCAATTCCAAGGCTAAAAGCTGTGTTAAAACCTAAGCAATAAGTTTATTCACACATACTAAAGAATAATTTAGGAAGTATATCACTTTTACTCTACAATGAATCAAAACTGCTCCACTCAGACCATATCTCCCTCCCATACTGCTTATGTAGATGTTTCTATTTGAAGAGAAATGATTTCTTCTCAGAATTTCCTTTTTCTTTAAAATATTATTTCCAGACAAATTGAAAATAAAAAACAAAAATGACTCTTAAAATGTGAGCAGTTCAGAAGATTTTGTTTCCACAACTGGGCTGTATTTCCTCTGCAAATTTAGAGGACTTTAAACCTGCAAATTTGATGAAATTAGCATAAAATACAGCCCAAAACCTTGATGTATTTATTAAAAACGTTTGAGTGAAAAAATACAAATATTTCATTCAAGTCTGGACATAGCCAAATTTTTTCAGGGACTTTTTGCAGGCCTTTTAAACAGTGTACATTAAGTTTGTTTTCCAGCAAAGACTTAAAGAAAAGATAACTTTCTTTGGTGAAAATAAAAGGACCCGAGAGCTCTAGATGCACTGCCCAAACATAGATTCCTCACATAGATTCCTGTGACTGACCAAAATCTCCATTCTGCATAAAATCTATTGGTCCAATGATCCAAGTTGGTCTTAAAAAAAGCTGGAAAGCATGAAAATATCTTAAAATCTCCCTCTATGTTCAAGGGCAAATCCAAACAGCAAGAAGTAACAGAGAAAAAACAAATAAATACATAAAGTCCTGTTCAAGTACATCCACTGAAGGCTGCCCTGGTCTACAGACCACTAATTTTGAGAGCATTTGTATCTATTTTTACAAGGATTTTCTGCACTTTTATGAGAATAAGTAATGCTTTACATTAGTTAATATATTTTTAAGAAAGGCTTTTTTTGGTTGGAATATGCCTTTGCCTACAAGAAGCTCTTCCAAAGGTCCACCCACAACCAGGCAAGATTCCACCACAGAGATACTAGGGCAGATGGCTGGGATGTCAGAACTGAGATGTAGCTATAAAAATATCATCTTCATATGCAGGACCTTCGATAGTCTGCAGGGACATCTTGGTCTGTGGCAAAGGTGTGACAACCCAGCTCCCAAGGCTGTGCTTGGCAAGGGTGGTTTGTGTTGCAGAAAGCAAATGGAAGATCCGAGTCATCCTGAGCTGGCCCTGCTTGTTGAGAAATGTCCTGATCTGTGACTGCTACTCTGGAGTCCAAACATAGGAACCTGTTGTTTTCCTTTCTGTTGCTCAAACTCGGAGACACACACTCACCAATGACTTTTTGCAGTAAATAACTATTGAGGGGTCTTCAAAATGAAATAAAAAAGCAAAGAAGAATCATATTACAGAGAGAAATAGATGTCCTATGCTCACATCGACAGAGTGCTCAAGCTCATTGAGGAGAGCAGGATGCTGGCTCCTCACCAGCGGGTCTGGCCTACACCTGTGTGGGGGCCACAGGACTTCAAACCCACTGGGACAGGATTCTGTGGCTGCAGCTCGTTCAAGTGTGCGGCACAGAGTGGCCCCGACAGCGCTGCGGAGCCCTCAGCACTCAGTGGCACGAGCAGGTTGCAGCCGAGCGCTCCGTCCGCGGAATAAGCCGAGACGTCGTCTTAATCTGTTCCGTCAGAAAACAGGGCGAGTTAACAACCGGAATGACTGCGCTGAGAACACATAAGAGTCACTGTTCAAAGTGGATAAATTGGGATCAATTTTTTATCCTTTATAGGGCATTTTTTTTTCCACTGGAGAATTCTGGATTTTAGATTACACATGCCACAGTTTTTAAGTTTTTTCCCCCCGAAACATCTCCATTTATAAAGGGGAGTTTTAGCAAAATACCTGCTGGATCAATGAAGAAAGAGAGAGGAAACTGCTGGAAAGCCGTGTTCAGCCCTCGGGGATTACAGAGAGATTAATTTGCCAAAGAGCTCAGCTGAGGTAACACCAGCTGCCAGGCTAATAAAGAGAAGAAGGTTCCACAAGCACGTAGGGTCTCAGGTGGCTTCAAAAGTTACAGATTCTCCAGGAAAAGGAGCAGGATTTGGATGAGCCTGGGTCAGGTTTGTGGTGAGACACTGCTCTGAAGCACCAGTGCAGCAAGGGGGTTAGTTCTGGGCTGAATGGGGGGCACTGGTGCCAGGCCAAGAACGTGGCTATGCTGCCCAGCACCTCCTGCTGCTTGGATGGGCATGGTCAGAGAGCCAACCCCACCCCAGGACACCTTTGCTTTTGATAAGGTCTTTTCTACCAAAACACAAAGCTGTATCCCTTCATTGGGAATCAGAGGGATAGTAAAGAAACATGATATAAATCCCACCAGACACTATTCTTCCAATACTTTGCTCTGAGAAGATGACAATACCAAAAGATGTCCACACGCTATCACTGAGAGGTTATTTTTGACTATTAAAGAAATAACTCAAGAACAGATCATCCTTTATATTATATATATTTATACACACACACACACACATATATATAAAAACTTTTGTTAGGCTGCCAACATCAGAGCATTCTTTGACTTTTGACTATGCCAGGATGGAGTCAAGAAGGTGGTTCAAATCATGCAGGGCACAATTTTCCTTTGGAAAGTTGCTTTAAAAACCAATGTCACAGTGTCCTAATGAAAAAGTTGCTTGCGACTTGTGCTCTATTTCCATTCCTTGGGCTTTGAGCCTAATTTTTTTCCCACATTTTAGGCTATGCCACTGATCACAGTACAGCACAAAACCTCCTAAATGATGCCTCAAAATAAGTGCACGCACTGGAGGAAGGATGAACTTTGTCAGCACCCAGCTTCCAGTTATTGCTGGAAAAGCAGTGCTTTGCAGGATACAAGTCATGAATTTTCTCTGCAAATCATGGCCTAGCTAATTCTTGATGCTGAAAACTATCGAATGAGCCTTTACTAAGTGACTAGAAAAGAGGACAAGGTGTTACAAATCATGGGCTTAGGGATTTTTTTTTGCCTGCTATTAGCACTCTATTGTAGCATCTCTTGGGGAATCTCAGCATGCTTTGCAAACATTTCCATTCCATCTTGAAAATGCTCTCCCCTCCCCACATTAGGTTGAGAGACTTGCATTTTAGCACTGGAGAAAATGGAGCCCAGTGAGAGGACAGTCTCTTACTTAAGAGCTGCCCTAGATAACCGTAGGCAGCCTGCTCTTGAAGGACAACGCCTCAGCAATGATGCCCTGGCAGACACCAGATATAAACCTTGCTCAGGACTAGTCTTTATATATTATTGGAAGCCACATGACACGCCACATGACACACCACTAAGGCAGGATGCTGACAATTTTGATCATTTCTGTTATAAAAAAGCACTGAAAAACAAGTTTTTGTGCAATGGCAGCTTTTCCAGCCCAGATCTGTTGCATTTTAATTTTTAAAAATACATTTGAGGGAAGGGAAGGGAATTTTATTTCACAAGTACTAAACTCAAATGCAAGCAGACAGAAAGATGTCAATGTTACGCCTTTGCAAACAACCCTCAAGGCTGAGTTGTGGCACATTCCTAGAGCTTCCTTACAAAAGGAAGCTCCGTTCATAACAGCTATTCCTTAGAGGCTGTAACAAAAATCTTAAGGCATCTTTGATTTTGCCTTTAATCCCCTAGGAACTGCTGTCATTTTGGGAAACTGATAATGGATGAGAGGAGAGCCTATGTCTCATCCTTACAACGGGGGGAGGAAAATGAGTGTGATTCACACAAGATATTTTACACTTTAACACTCTCCTTCACTGCACTTCATTATCACTGTGAAGAAGGTCCTGGACATTTCCTGCAAACACCTCCTTCTAATGGAGATTGTTCTGGACAAAATACGTCTGCTTGTGGTCACGATAGAGCAAGCTGCTTTACTGCCAATCCCTCTGAGGTCCCAAGCCATCCTGGGCACTGAGTTGAAGAGAAGGGTAGTGTGTCCTTGGGAAGCACAAGCAAGGTGCAAGTGTGTAGAGCAGTTGTAATAGACCTAGTGTTTCAGGTAAAAGGTAGGAGCTGGTCCTGCATAGTCAATGCCCTCTCATTTTGGGGCTACCAGAAGCATTTCAGGACTATATTGGTGCATCTGTATTAGTGTTGTATTTCAGAGCAGTGTTGTTTTTTGGAAGCAAATCTCTCACCACATCCCATATCATATGTGGTTCCCATATCACACGTGGTTCAGAACTTTAAAAATTTTGTCTCTGTACCTGGTACCTGTACATTGGCGTGGCTTTCAGTGAAAATTAGTTTTATAATGAAGGAAGGAGTTCATTTCTTCTAACTAAAGGCAGCGGAACCTTAAAATTCTTGTTCATTATCAGCTCTCTCTACTATTAAAACAAATTGCACAGTGAAAGGGTAATACACACACATATACACTGCTTTACCACAATCTGGTGTTGCACCCTGAGGCTGGAGTACGCTTGCCCTTATTAATGAGAAATAACAGAGCTTTAGGGCCTATCCTGCTGTTCCTACATAGAATTAGCAGTTTGCAACAAACCTCTATTACCAAAACTCATAGTCTTTCTCTGCAGGACCCCTCCCAGAGAGCCTATATTTAGGCTGAGCCTCCTGGTGGGATGTGGGGTCTTAAGCTTGCTGACTGCAATGAAGCTGAGGACATTGAGTTTCCCCAGGAGTCCTGCCTTGGCCGTCATCCAATGCAACTTCATGCGAGTTCCTAAAGCGGGATCCAGCTGAAAGATCCCTTTTACAGATAAATATGCCCATTCCTTCCTTCAGAAGATTTATTAGCAAGGGATTGACCAACAGAACAGGCAGTGATGCAGGGAAAGAGCCCAGCACCTGCCCTCCTTGCTCACCAAGGGCAGAAGACAGCTCAACTCCCCAGGGCAACAACCAGGTTGACCCAGGGCACTATTTCCACTTTCCAACTCAACCGTTTCACAGAGTCTTGGTATTTAAGTTAAAATACTCAAGAAATGACCAATATAAGCTTTAAAAAAAAAAAGCAGATGGACTCTTTCTTGTCTTTGTCTATGCAACCATGTTCTCTTCATTTGTTTGACTTGGGAAACGACATTAACATTATCTCTGAAGCATTCAATGCAAACTCAGTGGAGTACAAAATGCTCAAGTAACCACCCTCAGCTGAGCTATGAAAGTAGTAATTTAGCTCAGCCTAAGGGTAGCATATATAATAAAAAGCAGACTTTCTCCTGTGATATAATTCCGATAGTCTTAATGGATTTTTTCCCTTTTTAAACAGCTGCAGCAAAGTAACTTGCAATTACCATATCTTCAATTAAACACACTGTGGGGCTTCGGGGTGTGTGTGTGTGTGTGTGTGTGTGTGTGTGTGTGTGTGTGTGTGTGAGGGGGGAGAACCTGGATCTAGCATGAAAATGTCTGGAGAAAAGAAAAAAAAGAAAGAAAAAAAGGCAAGCTGCTAAGAGGTAGTGGCAAGTTAATTAACTGAAGATGGCCAGATTGCCACAAACTGGTTATGGGATTCCTAGACCCTCTTCTCCAGAAGAAACTGCCTGGCTGACAATGAAGGTAACACAAAGGAGAAAGAATCAAAGGTTGGTGTACGTGGAGAGTTTGTGTCATATCAGCAGCTCTGTCAGGTGCTGCTGCTTGATCTTTTATTACACTTAGTGAAGAGAAAGTTATACCCTGAACATATGGCATATTGTGCAAGAGAAAACAAAAACGGAATGATTCTGGGCAAGCAAAAGTTTTCCAGAATTCCTGACCAAGCTGTAATCCCACAAGGGTGAGACCAGCAAATATAATTTTCTTTAATGCTCAGTCTCTACAAGATCCCCTTTTCTGCACTGTTTCAGCTTGGCTAACCCAGGGGAAGTGGCGGTGTGCAAGGGAGCGGGCTGTGCTCGGTGACAATACACTTTGAGATACGCTGTCTTGTGAGGGCAGCAGTTTATGAATAAATAAAGCTGCAAAGCACTCATGAAACATGCACATAAAGAAACCACCCTGCTGAAGACTGGAATATTCCTGTATCCGCCCTGGGAACCTGGAATACAAAGAATCAGGACTCTGCCATTTCTTAGGTCCTCAATTTGCACTTCATTTCTCTTCCCTCTTCTACCTGAGTCAATTAAAACACATATTATTTTCACGGGATTCAGTTTCCTGCTCCTTGCCACTTGCTTGCAAGCAGGAGCTGCTAGATGTGCAGCACAGACTGGGCACTGCGGATGCAGCAGCCGGATGCGCTCCGGCACTTCCCTCTGCCCTTCCTGGCTTCCCAGAGTGTGCAGGGAGGCCACAGGGGTCCCATCAGCATCAGCTTGGACCCCCCGCTCCCCTGGAAGGCCTGACGACAGTCGATGCAAGAGCCAAGCAAAAGTGTTTGGGCTTTAATGGAAAATTGAGGAGGGGAAAGGAAAAAAAAAAAAAAAAAAAAAAAAAAAAAAAAAAAAAAAAAAAAAAGAGAGAGAGAGAAAAAAAAAGAATAAACCTGTCAAGCAAACAAACTAACTATCTAAGGGATCTAGCCAAAAGGAACAAGCCTACTGAAGGAACAGTTTTCAGCACCAATATGTCACTGCACCATACTCTGCATAATTATTTCTTAAACCCAGCCATCCCCTACATTATTAATAGGACCAGCCAACCTCAAGTCCCCACGCAGCCTTAAAGTGAATATATTATATATTCCTAACAGGTAATGGGCAACTTTCTGTTATCAGCAGTAGACTATGCAGGTAAGTCAATGCCGCTTTCAAACAGGCTTTGATCTGGCAAGATCAACAGGGTTGTTATCCTCCACTCCTCCAAGCTGCTTTTTCTGACAAACCTGATCAGCATTTCCACAATTCTCCACAAAACAGGCAAGTTAACCCTCTAGTGGGAGCAACAAAAACTTGTGTGGATGCTAAAGCGAGCTGGGAATGGAGCAACCTGGACAGACGGAGCAGAATGGTCGGAGGCAATGGGGAGTCAGGCTGAAATACAAGGATTGGAGACAGGATGGGAAGAAGGTGTCGCAGCCTTCCTGCTGCTCAGAGCAATGGAGAAGGAGCTCTGCTTTCATGCACCAGCCATGACCACGAGCTCGTTATGAAATATGGAGATATTTACCAGCTTCAGCCAATTTACCAGCTTCTAGTTCAGCATCACTCAGATTTGGGCAACTGCTTCCTGTCCTCAGTCAAATTCTCTCAGAAATCCTTCCTTCAGCATTTCTAACTGCTTATGCTCAGTTGCAGGATTGTGCCATGGTACAAAGTTACATCCATTGTCAAAATCCGTAAGTGAAAAGATGATTTTCCCATGAGCAAAATGATCCTTTTCCAAGGATCTCTGTAGCCAAGCCCTTCCTTCAGGACAAGTCCTAGCTTTAAACAAATTAGTCTAGGTGACAGTGGATGGTGCAAATCACAGTTGTTGTTTCATCTTCCTGTGCAAAACCATGGGCTGGCCTCTTAGCTTTGATGTCTGATCCCTGTCTTGCTAACTGATCCAGAAGCATCTCACATAGGGTGCTATTACAGAGTTGTTCCAGCCCTGGTAAGCTTAAATGCTCCACAAGCATGCCTAGGAAGTGCTAGAAAATACTTCCACCCTTGTGATTTACCCATCAAGACATTTAACTAGATTTTTCCAGAAGTCCTGAAAGCACAAGCAACCCTTCACACGCACACAAAGAGAAAAACTTTAAATAATAATGCCACGATGTTTAAAAATGTATCCCTTTCACTATAACATACAAATAGCAGAGGGCAGAAGTAACACAGAAGAGACGCGCGCACCGGAGCGCACAGGGAGCTTGCAGCCCTAATGTGATTCTGCTGGCTGCCAGACCAGCAGTATTTTGCTCACTGTGCCCTGCACTTTTTGTCTAACAGGCACAACCAGCCTGAAAGACAAAGATATGAAGCAGTTGGTTGTGAAGGTAGCCCCTTGGGCTCCTGTGTTGCAGAAAAGCCTAGACTATTTGCCATTTCTTACCTTTAAGATTGAACCTTTAAGGTTTCCTGCTCACTGGGAAAGGCACAGCAAGCAGAGGAGAAGATTCTCTAAAAGATGTTCTCTAACATATGCCTTATTATAGGCCTGAGACATTTAATGTAATAGTTATCAATACCTGCACATGTACTTAAAATAAGCTAATTAGCACCTGCTTCAGTCCTTCCCTTCCTTTGGTAGCCCCTCATCACCGATACCTGCCAGTAGCAAACTGGCAATAACCTAGCACCAAAGTAGACTGTTAAAAAGCAGCAGTAATTCTCTCAGTGACGTCCTCTGCAAAATTACTATCTTGAACTCCTAGCATCATGCTCTTAAGTTACATCATGAAATACCTTGTTTGCTAAAATCCGTTCCTGCAATATGGCAAATACCCCACTGTAATATTATAATCCAGGTAGGAGAGCAACAAAATTATTTCAAAACTGACAGCTTTCTATATCAGCAGCCTAAAGATGCTATTAAAAGATTATTTAAAAGATGAGCAAAATATTAGCTTAACCAAAACATTGAATAAATTTGGCATGATTCTAAAGTTATTTTGAAATTTTCAGTTTCCAAAATACAGTCCAGCACCATTTAGTGTCATCTTCAGCATCATGAACTCACTTTAGTCATGTTTTCGCTGTGCTTCTTGCATGAACAAGGGGCAAAAAATGAGAACTAGGGCATTTTGCTTAGTCACAGAACTCCAGATGCCATTATTTTATTCGAGTAAACCGAATAATTACACTTAAAGGTAATAGCTACCTACCCCAATGAAAAGATGAGCCATTTTGCAGGCATCTGGGGGTTTACTGCAGATATCTTAAATCGCGAGAGTTAACCTCACTTTTTAAAGTGTACTTTTAAAACCTGAAAGTGTTAGACAGAAGAAAAACTATTTTGGTTCTGCTTTGATTTCTGCAGTTTGTTAGGCACTGTGGGAGTGTAAAGAGATGAGATAAACTGGTCTCAAAGCCTTCTCTTTTGTATGCTTATATCCAGCCAGACTTTCTGCTTATCACTCTGCCATTTACCTCCCTTTCCAGCAAGTAAAAAGAAAAGTTGGGGAAAAATTATCATGACTGACCCTCAAAATCCTTCCCGCAAGGGATGTAGTGCGGATGACAAGAGGGATGTTTGAAGCATCGCAAGTTGAGCTATGTAGCTAAGCTAACCAAGGCTTTGGAGGCTGAGAAGCAAGGTGAGTTATCTTGAAGGAGCAGCCTGCCTTTGCTTTTTGTTTCTCTTCAGCTCCTATTTGAGTGCTCAGAGCTCCTTTCACTATGCAAAGGACAGTGCAGATTTTTATTTTGCTGCTAATAATCCTGCTCTCTCTCAGTATGAGAGAAAACATTTGGATCTCGTCATTTTTTCTAAGTGGTCTTGCTCTTCAGTCCAAGAGTGCATTCACGAACACGTAATATATCCCAGACTACATAGCGCATCACACTGGGAGGTAACCACACCTTTGGAAATGTTTCCCAGATGTTTCCCTATTTTTTGTCAGTCTCCTGGCTGAATCTCAGAAGCTTCAGGAGCTAGAAAGGCTTCACCACAAAGGCATGGACTGGGCTAGGAGCAGTCTGTGCTCTCTGGCCTCCTTCCTGCCCATTCAACGTCAGTCCATCTCCTTGCCCTCCAGACCCTCACTCACATAGCAAGAAGAGCTGACTTCCCTACTGCGCAAGCATGGTCTCTGACTTGAAGTGACGCTTCAGAATTTCAGCTGTGCAGAAAGGCAACAGGCAGCGGGGAACACACCAAGATGAACACAGGGCGTGGGAAAGATAGTATTACCATGAGTTACATTCAGGATTTTGGTTTCTTTTTGGATGAGGAAAGACAAGGATTTGAGACAGCACAAAAAAAAAAAAAAAAAAAAGGAAGCTCAATGGACGGATCATCGGTACAGAAAACAATGAAATGGTCCTTGTTGGGCAGGGCAGTAACTGGTAGGGCAGTAACTACAGATCTAGATCTATGGTTATTGTCCACCAGCATATCTGTGAGGCACTATTCATTCCTCTCAGCTTTTGAGGCTGAGTGCAAGTGAATGAACCTTTTGCCCAGGTGCAAAGGATGGATTTTTACAATATGCATCATTGTTTTTAAAATGTTCATGAAATTCAAGAATCAGCAGCTTGCTGCAAATGTACTGCAGCGCTTTACATCTGATCCACAGCTAACAACTAGGGCGCAGAGGCTGCCTGCACATGTGGTTCCTGCTTTCCCAAACAGTCAGAATGAAACCACCCTTCTGTGCAATGACACCACCTATTCCTCTTGTTTGGCTTCTTCCCCTGCTTCAGATTTTATTTCTCCCACAGCTCCTTGGCTTCTGCCGGAATCAAATCCCTGCTAGCAATGCTCTATTAGACTGCACCCATTTCAGTAAAAGACACACTAGTACGGCATGAAAAAGGGAGTTCTGGTAGTTCAGGGTCGCTACAACCGATCAGACCATCAAAATCCTTATTGCTCCTGCTCATGACATCAAAATAGTGATTGATTTCATCCTCCTACACAATCTCTCTGTTCCACTTGGTCTTTAGAGATGGGAATGTATACAACATCCCTATATTACAGAAATCTTTTTTTATGCCAGGCAGACTGATCTGCTTTAAGTTATTGTTGGGGACCTCCACCTGGCACAGCCCAGGACGTGGTAAATGAAGCTGACAAAGAATTAGGAAAAATGCTGTCCAGGAGCAGTGTTGGCTGCAGCTGAACGTTTCTAGTTTCTCTTCTCATCTAAATGGAAGCAGTGGGAAAGAGGGGGCTCTGGTTTCCCACAACCCTTCCTGTTACAACATTTCACGCATAGCACCCAAAAAAAAAGAATCTTAGGCCATGCTATCAGAAAAATCAAGCAAGGGAGAGTACAACAGCATCTAATATAGTCACTTGGGGTGAAAGTTTACATTTCAACAACACACAGTAAGACAACCGAGAAGATACGTTAGCCAGAGTTTAAGTTCAGGCCTGTTTGTTAGATAACGGTCCAGCAATTACCAATCCCAATGAATAAAAGCTTGGGACAAGGGTCCATGGATATAAAAACACATAGGTAGCAACTACCACACATGCTGAGTAGGGCTATTTCCATTCCAAACTTCCAAAAGAGAGTGAGCTGGCTGCGCTAGGCCCAGTGTAGCCGCAGGCTTCATCTCTACCAGCACTAGGGACTGTTCAGCATCCACGCAGAAACCTCCTTACAATTCTTAGCATAGCAGTATCCACAGCTGACATCCATTTGCTTTTCTACTACACCTCCCACCGGTGCAAACACTTCTTTTCTCCCCAGTGCTTCCCCCACCAAATGCAGTTACCATCTCTTTTACTATTTTCCTTTCTACAACCATCCTTCACCCTCCTCTGTCCCACTCCCTTTTGAACACTTGGGTATTTATTTTTAAGATTTCTGCACAATATGCTAGAGTCTTTCTGAGGATTGTCTCATACCTTAGGAAGGCTCCGTTAGGCCACAGACCTCTCAGCTGTGCAGGGACTCCAGGCAGGCTGCACCAGCAAATTGAGCAGCTCTCAGGAAATCTTCACCAACACAAAGTTCAAAATGCAGAACAAAGGCAGGGCAGCACAACTGCCTTCCACACAAGGAGGCTGAGCTGAATCCTGGGATTTCTAAGGCTCTCAGAACTGCCCATGTGATTGAAAACACCTGAGGCGGCAGAGCCAGGGGCACCACCAGGCCTGTGCTCAGCCCTGTTGCTGCAGAGGCCCCTGGCCTTGCAATGGGCATTTCGACAAGTGTTTGCAGCAGTCTGAGTGTGCAGATGAGCTAGATGGTATGAGTTAGAAAAACTCATACTGGAAACTGTAAGAGACTTGAAACACAGTCAGGTTGCCATCATTTTTCTAGCCTGCATTTACAGGGTCAACCTAAGGCAAATGAGAGAGGCTGGTGTGGAGGAATCCACAAAAAAGTAGATGTACAAACTAGTTTAGTTAGTAATTAATTAGCTATTAACTAATAATAGCTATTTACTAGTAAATTAATTCTTGACACTAAGTTTTAGACACTTAGCTTCAGACAAGCAGCAATCCATGCTCGATTTCATTGCAGGTGGATGGAGGTCGACTACTTCTGTAATGAACATCTTTAAGTAACTCTAACCTTGTTTTATAAATAGAACAGGAAACTCAAATGAAAAGCTATTGTTTGAGTTGTGACTAATTTCAATCAGTGTGTAGACATACTGTAAAAGTTGTGTTTTGGTCCTCTTCTGGTCTAGTCAACTTATATTTCTAGCTACTCAGTGCTAGCCCCTGCCTCAGCCCCATCCTCCCCTGAAATACATTTCAGTGTATTAGTATGGCCAATGCCTACAGTACAACCATGTGGATCTAGGGCACTCCCATTCCTTGGTCAAGAGATATTCAGGGGAAATAAATATATGACAAGTTCAGATGAGTCCATTCTGCAGTCTCAGGCCAGATTAGTATCCGTACCAATACAGGCTGGATTTTATCTGTTCTGATGACCTTTTTGCTTCTGGGTGGATGAATAGCAATATGAATGATATTATAGGAATTCTCATTATGTTTTACTTCTATGCTCTGTATCTCAGCACAAGCAGGGAGAAGTTGTAAGCTGCGGGGATCATACTGAGACCTTTTAACACAGAGACAATATCAGGAAGGAAAACATCTACAAAGACCAAGCTACTCCTGAATATTGCGCTGCTGAAATCCCCACTGCTATGCGTGGAAAGCAGCACAGATATGTCACACACAGATGCACAGACAGGCAGTGTCTGCTGTGCCATCAGCACAGCCTGCCCTTGCCCCAGGCCAGGCAGACCTGCCCGAGCCCACGTCCACAAACTGCAGGTAGTTTCTGCCCATCTCTGCCAGCGAATGTCAGACCATCCTTCTGAGTCCAGCAGGCAGCGTGACAGCCCCAGGGAGCCGGCTTTCCAGGTGCTCTCCAGAGGCTGGCTCTCCAAAACGCAGCATCTGCTGATTCATCCCCTATCAACACTGCTGACTTCCCGTGAGCACCTGACCTCGGAACATAAATTACCATTAAGGCTGACAAGGATATACCCTCTGCGACGATAACTCACAGGACTGCTGTTTCCTAGCACAAAAGGACATCCCTGCTGCCTTGGCACAGCAAGTAGATCATGTGGGGTTATTAATGCAAGCATCTCTCGCTGACATTAATGAGGCTGCTGCTCTCCTGGCACAGGAGACTGACCCTGCTCGCACCACTGTGCTTGGACAGTGAGCAGCATCCATCCTTCTCTGGCAGGGAGACTGATTTGCTGTAAAACACCCATTTCTTGATGTCTTTGCATTCTCAGCACAAACTTCTAAATGGCATTTCTCATCCCTCACCTTGCAAAACAGATCTTAGAAAATGGCCATTACTGCTAGGCGGGATGGAAATTACAAGGGTGGTCAAATCAGTCATGAGGCGTCCGGGCTTGAGCTGTTCACCAGGTGGGATGAGAAAGAGACTCTCCTCCTCGATAGGGTTGCTGCAAAAAGGTAGATGCTGGAATGCTCATGGAGCTGGGAAGGCAGGGAGGGAAATGCACAGTGGAGCCACAACTACAGAGCAGTGATTGCACTAGACAGTTGCAGCAGACCCTTTTAAAGCGAGCAAAGTAAATGCAGCGTCTTCGCCTTTCCTAGAGGAAATTTCCACAATGCTCCCCCTATCATAAAGCAATCTTATAATTCAAGGTTAATGCTTCAAGACACTCTTAAAGGTAAAAACTTGTTATAATGTGTGCTGTGTTAATTACACCTGAAATTATTCCCTGCATTTTTCCTTTGGCACTGAAACATCTGTTTGCATCCACGATGAGCCTCTCTTAACCCACAGCAAATTGCATAATGTTTTCATTAGCACCATCTAGCAAATGACAAGACAATATTCCAGCAATATTCTGGTTATGTTTCTCCCACTAACAGATGTGATCTTGTTGAAATCTCTCCCTTTGGTTCCCTTTACCTTCTTGCTCTCCTGAAATGAAGAGATAGGGAAAAAGAGGAGATAAAACATAACAATAAAGGGGAACCTAAATAACCTTATTACAAAGAACGTAAAAGCAGAAAGCGATTTGAAGTTTGTGTAAAGGAAACTTGCGTGGTATTTGCACTTGTTCTTGCCAAGGCAGTGACCAAAAATGTGTGTTTTTGACTCAAAATTTTACTGCCAGCAATGTAAATGGAGCTGCCACTTTAAGCAAGATAACTGGCTGCCTCACTAGGCTATTTGCTTTGCCGACTCATCCACATCTTGTCAAGTGTTTTTCCTCTTTCAGCCTCATTTCTAGGTTCAGGATGGGAGGCCAGAGCCCTGTCTGAGCCCACACAAGGCTGGTTGCAGCCCCTGCTCCCTTGCCAGAATCTGTCCCACCTGGGACACTGTCCTCTGGCTGCAGCAGGAGTGACATTTAACATGTTGCATTTCAGGGCAAAGCAAATCCAGGCACGAGCAAACAGAAAAACACACATTTTTTACTGGGTATTGGACAGTTTTTCAAGACAAGTCCTGGCACATCTGACCTCCTCATGGTTCCTATGAAACTTCTAGGAACTGGATGTAATCTGGGGAACACAGATGAGTCGGAGCTTGTCCCTACTCAAAACTGGAACATGCCACAGATAAACTTAGTGCAGGTGCAAAGCTGAGGTGGACGGCAGCAGTTCAAGCACACAGAGGCATCACTGTCACATGCAATAGTAAATATCTATAGACTTACTCTCATTATTTACAGGCTTTTATCTATTAAACCTCAGAATTGTTGAATAGATCCTGTAACCTACTTTCAACAAACTAACGTTTGGTGTCTGGATCCGTTATGCAGCTTCCTACTTCTCTCTCCCCACCACCCCGCTGTTCCTTATTAAGCAAAGGCAATTTCTTTATACAAGAAGCCCTGATGATGCAGTAAACAGTAACTTTATACCACTGATCAAACACTTAAAACATTCTCTAAAATTACTGCAGTTCCGTGGCTATAACAAATCTCAGAGTTTTTCACTCTTCTCACTTAGCTCGGAGTATACCAACACTTATTTTTCTAAAATCAATATGTTTACTCTGCTGGGGAAGCTCGGAAGCAAGAGGAAAGTCAGATTTAGTGTGTGAAAACATCAAAAAAAAGTGTGAATTCCTCTTACTCTTCTCCTACTGTGTCTCAGTATTGCCCCTCAGGGATCAGTCCTAAAGCATTAACCGTCCTATCCTCATTTTCTGATTAGATTCTGAACAAGATTTCTTAGGTGAGTTGATGATCTTGATGAAGCCAATAGCAATCCACAGATTACTAGACTGAGACTAAGCAGAACTTTTATATTTCAAAGATTTACTCCTGCTCATACAAAGATTGCCTACCTCCAAGTATCCCTAATGTGTATTTTAGAAGTTCAGAACATATGAAGCTGCTTTGAAAAAATCATGACATTTTCACAATGATACACATTTGGTTCATTTTAATCTTTTCTGGGTTTTTAAGCTTTCAGAACTCAGTTTTTAAGGCTCTCTCCCCAATCTTGAAAGCTAAAAAATAGAAGCTGAAATTCTCACCGAGTCAAGTGGGAATTAAAGAAAATCAGTTGTTGCAATGACTAGCAATATAATATTCTCCCATGATCAGTAATCTAGAAAACAGTTCAGATCTCTAGACAGAATTATCCTTCTCCACTTAAAGTTGTTTTTTCTTTCTTTCCTGAAAATGCCTTAAGACTGAGTTTCCCACCCTACTTGTCCTGATCTCTCTTGCGAGGCAATTTTGTAGCCCTCATTTGGGAAGTTTTGCTAGTGACTCTCTTTTCCTTGGTGAAACGTTGATTGCTAGAACAGAACAACTCATGTGATTCCTTCCTGTTAGTCCAGTCCTTTTCATTTCAAAATTAGCCAGAAAACAGCAAATTCATGTCAGGACTTGTGTAAATTCATTTGAATCTCATTTGCACTACCCTTCATAGACACCAGCAAAATGATGCACCTTTTGAAAAAAGTTTTTAAACTGCCATAGTGAAACCAAAAATGGCTTATTTCAGTGTCCTATTGGGTAAAGCAGGATTAGCAATCATCATTATACTGAAAATGTGCAACAGAAGTAAGGCTTGTATCTAGCATTGCTTCTCAGCTCTTACTTGAAGTCCCTCTCAGCATTCTGGCTACTTGTCCAGTCTCATCCATCCATCCATCCTCCAGTTCTGAACCAACACTCATTGCCGGCCTTTATTTTCCTTTCCTTATAACTAAGGTATCTCATTGATTACCCATTCTTTATTTCCCAAATGTTGCCAAACTTCCTATTTGCCCATAGCTGTGTTCTTGTGTTTCTGGATCATTAAGCATGTAAATTAAATTCAGTTGCAATCTGAATACAGAATTGTGCTTAGATCCTGAAGAACAGGGAGGATTTTAGTGATAGAAGGTATTCCCATATCTGTAATTTTGACCTGCTCGTTTTTTCAGAAAGGAATTACTCAACAGATTTGAAACTGCATTATTTCAAATCATTTTGGCAACTTTTATATACAATTATTTTTCTCTCATTGAAATTTTCCTGAAACAGAAGGGCAACCTTTTCA